CGCGGGTGGTGTTAGTTCTTCAGCCTGCGTACGGCGTCACTGCAGAAAAACGGTCGGTCTGCTGGAGATTTTCTGACAGTGACCCCCCCATCTTCGACGTGTTTGATGAGGGGAAGCGACGTGATTGGACTGTCGCAGCCAGACCGCCTTCGACACCCCTCCCGGCTGCTGTGCGTGGTGGATTTGTGGACTTCAATGTGGGCTTGCATCGCCGTTTTGGGAAGAAAACGGACAGGGTGGGTTCAGAAAAGAGCAGTGGTGACCCCCCCGCTCACCGGTAAGCTGGGTGAAATACAGGGGGTTCCTGCTTGCCCGTCACACTGCAGGTGTGCTGAGCTGAAGAGCCACTCACACTCTTCAGGGCAGCTTCCGCGGCTTCGACCAACAGGCGGTCCTCCAGCACCTCCATCAACCACCACCGCCGCCGCAGCCCGCGCTACACCACCACCACCACCACCACCACCACCACCACCACTACCTCTCCAACCCAGCAGGTGAAGGTGCGTCCCCCATACCAGGGCTTCCCGGCGGGATTCTTTGCCCAACCGGCTCCAACCCTGACCAGACCTTGAAAACCGTCCATCAGCAATCCTCCTCACCTTCGGCATATCGCACATCACGTCGCGCTTCTCTTTTCCCTTCTCCTTCACGCCCGGATACCTACTTTGCCTTAATATCTGCAGGACTTTGGGGATTTGGCCCAACCTGATGTCACTGTACGTGCCTGCCCGTTGTCATGCACAATCGATTGTCTCACGCAATTGAGTTTGCGAAGCACATTAACGCTGCAGAAAAAGCTGACTTCCTTTCTAGCTTTGCATCGTAAACCTAGACCATCGATAACGACCTTTTTCTTCTCCCTCGTCTTTTTGGCTTACACCGTTCGCGACTTCCCTACGGCAGCTCCATCTCCTCTTCCTGCTCTCTCGAGACGCAAACCGACCGATCGACCGACTTACGCTCCTTCTTCCTGTTCTTGGCCGTCTACAAAGACTAGCAGCGTCCAGTCTGCGCCGTACTTCTGCACCTCGTAGCCACACATTCCAGCGACGTTCACGAGCCAATGGCAACACAATGAGCGCAACTCCCCAGAACCGGCTCAAATTGACGCCGGGAAACTCCCCATACCTCCAGCGCCCGCCTCGATCCCCCCTCCGAGGTCGCCTGCCCCACGAGTCCCGCCTCTCTCTCAAGCGAGTTGTCGGCACAACCTGCGCCTCGCCCACCGGCTTCGACACTGTAAACTCCTCCTTCGCCTACATCGCAGGCGGTGCCGTGGTCGTTGTCGATGTCGACGGTGAACAGTATGCCCAGCGCTTCTATCGAGCCCGCCCGACTGCCTCGGCGGTCCACGGCTGCACACCGCTGTCTCACGGCTCGCCTTCTTCTTCCACGCCAAAGGCAAACGACAGCAGGAACAGAGTAGCAAGGGAACCTGCCGACTGGTCTGTCTCCCCGACGTCTTCAAACACATGGACAAGTCGTGAGCGCATCAAGGCGGCGACGTGCTTGGCGCTGAGCCGCGATGGGAGGTATTTGGCTGTAGGAGAGACTGGATATGCGCCGCGGGTGCTCATCTTCAACTTGGAGGACTCGTCTTCCGACGTGCCGCTAGTGTCAATCAGTGAGCATGGGTTTGGTGTCAATGCCGTCGCATGGTCTTCTGACACCCGCTGGCTGGCTTCTCTGGGCGCCTCAACCGACGGTTTCCTCTTCATCTGGAGGATCGATCCTCGCACAGGTGCAGCCAAGCTGTACCAGCAGAACAAATGCACATCTACCATCAAGGGAATGGTGTGGATGGGCAACAATCTTGTCACACTTGGTGTAAGACACATCAAGATTTGGCGGGTAGAGGAGGCGTCCACTTCACCGTTGAAAACCAAATTCAGCGAGGTCAGTTCGACGCCCCAACCGCCACAGAAAACCCTTAATGGCCGTAACGTACTGCTTGGTTCGCTATTGGAGGCCACTTTCACCTGCGCGGCGGTGGTCGACGAGACGAACATTATCATCTGCTCCGAGGCTGGCGACATCTGCATGGTGGAAGACGACGGGAAGCAGTCGAAGCTCGTCCGGTCCTTCAATGTGGATTTTCCAGTTACATCGATTACCATCAGGCATGCAACCGCCTACGTATCAGGAAAGGGAGGCGAATTCGCGACGCTGAGCATAAGAGCGGTTCTGGACAGTCTCCCAGACGCTGTGCTCTCCAAGAGTACTGCACCGGCTGGCTTGACTGCCATGGGTTTCCTGACGGAAAACCTCGTCACAATTGACGAAAAGCACTCCATTGATATTTGGAGCTCGAGCTACCTTCCTGGACAGACCGAAGAGGATCCATCGCACATCCCTATTCCTGGTCACCAGGACCCTATTCTGGGAATTCAAGCCATGCCAAAGCCCAACGATCAGGGTGCGGACTTCTTTACTTGGTCCGCATCTGGAACCGTTATCTTCTGGGACATGAAAGGCAAGGTCAAGTTCTCACTTGACGTTCCCATTGAACAGGTGATCCCTGAGGTTGGGATGGACCCAGTCGGAAACCAACTCAGCGTGGTTCGGGCCAGCAGGGCTGGGAAGATGCTTGCAGCCGCCGACAGATTTGGAGTGCTCAGGATCATAGACTTGGCAACTCAGGAATGTCTTCTCGAGACGAAGGCCCATTCCTCAGACTGCCAAAACATCAGTATCTACGAAGACGACTCCAAGTTCCTGCTGGCGACTTGCGGCAGGGATCGCACAGCCCAATTATTCCATCGCCTCTCGACAGGGGAGTTCCAGCATGTCCAGACGCTCGAGTTCGCGGCCAAGGTCGTGCAGACCTTGATCCCCTCCGAAGACCGCATTCTCACATGTTCTATGGACAGAACTCTGCAGATTCATGACATAGTCTGCAAAGAGGGAGAGCCTGAGGAGATTGCTGCTCTCTCGGCGCGCACCGTCACTCTCAAAGCATCGCCTACATCATTTGCCCTTAGCCAAGACGAACGGACTGCATTCGTCTCCATGCTTGACCGGTCGATCTGCCATTACGATCTTTCCAGCGGCAAGCTCTTAAATTCCTTCAAATGTCTCGACGAGGGGCAATCGGAGACTGCAATCATGGACTCTCTCATCTATAGCCAGTCCTCTGGCAAAGACGGCAATTTCCTGCTGGGCATATCCAACACAGACAAGTCTGTGCGCGTCTACGATGCTCAGTCGGGCCATTTTCTGGACAGAGAATGGGGCCACACTGAGTCTATCAGCGGTGTAGCTTTGACCGAGGATGATGATGGCAATCAGAGGGTCATCAGCGTAGGACTTGACGGGACCGTCATGATCTGGGGATTGGAGGAAGATGCCTCACCTGCATCCGGTAGCAGAGATCCATCGCCGATGAAGGATGCATCGACATCTTCCAGGCCACCGCTAAGGCGCGTGCTCTCTAAGGCGGAGCTGGCCGAATTCCAGCGACCATCTTCCGCCAACGGTGGACGTCGATCACCGAGAACTGTTCAACGCCGGACGTCACGTTACGCGCTGAACACCAGCGTCAGCACGCCAAAAGGCGCGGCAAATAGCCCGTCTATCGCTGAGGATACGCCTTCTCGTCGATCATCGGGAAGTGGTAGTCCGCCAGTGAGCCCGAAGTCAAGGGCATCCAGGCGTCCCTCTTTGCCGTCTTTGGGCCTGCCGCCCAAAAAGAGCTCGCCTAACCTGCGTGGATTTGGCAGCCTTGGCATGGCCACAGAACAAGCTTGCCGCACGTTGAGGGCGTATAGAAAGAAGCTCTCTTCGACAGAGCCATTAAGCCAAGACTCTCTGACTGAGCTCGACCAAGAGCTCCGCATGACCGCCGCTGCTCTTGGCGACCGAGCTATCAGAACCCACGACACCGCTCTTATCAGCGGTCTCTTAGATCAGTACGAGGAGCGTCTGGCTTCGATGCTGGACGAGAAGCTCCGACGGACCTTCCAAGACAAGGAGATCCGAGACGTACAAACTCCCACCGAAGAGCGCGAGATCGAAATGGTGCTCGACCGACCCAGCACAGCTGGAGGCGAGACCATTTCGACCGCATCACTATCATAACACACTCGTTGTATTTTTCTTCTACTGCTGTACAACATCTGCTGAACATACGGAGTTATCTGAATAAGGACAACGGCGTTTGGCTAGGAAAGGTATCCTAAGAGAAGTTCAAACTTGGACTTGGGGGGTAATAAGGGCGGACGAGTTTCCCCCTTTTTGATTTGTTGGCACATTGTTTCTTTTGCAACTTTCGAAACAGCACAGCGACTTTTGATTTCCTTTTTATCCATCATTGCGAAAAGTTACTACTCTCTTGGCAACAAAGAGGCCAAAGACAACAACAGAACATCCGTCGTTGGAGACGGCGATCCTGCAGGAGGAGGCGATTTGGAGCCTGGAGTTTTCTATCTTGATACGCGGAAGACGTTGGGAGGGGTTGGCTAACTGGATAGCGGAAGGGTGGGAGCCGGGGCGGCAATTGGGTGCTGATATCGCGTCCTTGGGCTAGTTCTTGTTTGTTTTTACATCCTCACTTCTGGATCGCGCACATTTACTTGCGACAGAAATACTACAAGCGGAAAGATTTCCGCTTTTTGATACTTTTGACATTTTGTCATTGTGACATCGTCCTCTGTCTTTTTCACATTAGCCTCACTGACCCACATACCCGCCAGTACCCACCAGTAAAGCTCGTGGAAGTCATCTCAGTCAGGAAAAAGCCAGGACTGGGGCAATGTCGTATTGCGTCTCATGTACAGATAAGTTGAAGCAAAAGAAGATGGAAAGTAAAGGGCCATTCCCCCGCGCCCCAACACGACTAGTTGCCTCCTGAAATCTGTACTCGATAGGGGTGCCGTGTTCCAAAAACAGAGAAGAAGAAAACGGTAAGCTTTGTCTATCCAACGAACGCCTTGGCGGTCTCTTTTTTCCTTTCTGCTTGTTCTACATGTCCGACGTCTCTTGGCCCATAATCATGAGAAAGCTTAGACGACGAGACCCTCTTCAAACGCCTCATCCCTCTCCAGCCTCTCCAGGCCCGTTGCGACGGCACCATACACCCGCAACGGCACGGCCACCTCGAAGCTCTCGCATGCTAGGTTCTCTACGGCCACGAGCACCAATCCGCCCTTCTCATCGCGGGAGATTTCCTCCAGCAAGGGATGGGTACTTGGTGACTCCCGCTCGAGTTCCGTTTCCTGACTCGGTACGACGAACTCGACGCGGATCTTCCACTCCAACGACACGCCGGTGGTGACAAATTCGGGGGTCGCGTTGATGGGGATTGTCGGGGTAAAAACCATCCGCCGGTTGTAGAGGGTTGCTTCCGATGCCGCGAAGTGAATCCTTCGCGTTACTCGATGGATAGATGCTTCTGAGCGAATAGCGAGATGAGGCTCGATTCGCTCGGCGGACTCGAGACATGAGTGAACGGCGTAACAAGGGATATCGGCGTCCGTGAAGTCGATGGCCATGGTCACAACTTCGCCTAGGCGGTAAGACGGTCGTGTAAGCATCACGACGCCTACCCGCTGCCCATTGCGAGCAATCTCGAAGCGATTGGGGCTCTGCTGGCCCTCCGAAGTTATGTTGCTGCGCATGATGGCCATGTTGATGGCCTCTGTCGCGGTCGTCGCGTCCTCGAATGCCGATGACCGTCGGGAGCCAGGATACGCCGTGGGGGAGAGTAAGCCCGTGCTAGAACCATCGCGTGGTCTTGAAATGAGTTCGTCTACATAAGAAAGGAAGTCGTTGATGGTCGAAGTGTCCGGCTTCGTCGCCTTGAGCTTCTTTAGTTCACCGAGTGTCGTCAGCTTATCGACTGTCTTGATCTTCGCCTGGTCACGAAGTATAATATACGGGTTCATGAGGTCATGACCCAGAATCTCGCCATAACTGTTCACGCTGCCGAGCACCCTAAACGGGATTTCCACAGATCGCACTTGTTGCTCTTTCGAGCCGCCGGCCCGCTGCGTGCCGATAACCAGACTATAGGAGATTTTCACCGCTTTGCCCTTATGTGTCGGTGGCAACCCTTTAGGAAGCTGGAATGAGTACTCAAAGGCCTTGTGCTCGCCTGGGGCCAAGTTGAGGTCCACGAACAGGATGGACTGGGGTGTTGAGAGCAAAGGAACAGACTTGGAACTGGCGATGCCGCGCATGTCCTTGATGCTGCTCAACTCGCCACCTCCGAGCAGCTCGCCAATTGAGTTGCTGATACTCCCCCAGCCGAAACTTCGAAGCAGCCCACTGTCCCGTTTCGAAGGTTCCACTCCGATGACACCACCACCTTGACCGCCGACAACGGCCTTCCGCTTGACTTGTTCAAAAGGGCCAATATTGATAAGCGACCCATCAAGCGTGAATGAGCCTTGGATTTGCGCGTAACCCATCATTAACGATTCCGGCAACTTCGGGTTGTGCGCCAGGTTTGATGGCCGCCTAAAGTGTGGTGGTCGCATAGGTCCTCTTGTGGGCTGTGATGGGTATTCCGAAGCCAGAGTTTCTGTTGAATTATTGCTCATAGAGTAGAACTCTCCGCTACTTCGTGGCGTGCCTCCGCCCATGCTGGTTGTGGACAGTATTCGCATGGCTGGGGCTGTGTGTTCGTTGATAATTGTAGGAATGCCCTCCTTGGGTCTCACGGCTGTGCTAGAGGAAGCATCGGTATTTGGGCTCAAGAGGCCATCGTGGTTCGCTGTCAATGGAGTGGTCGTCGATTCGGAGAGCGGTGACTGGACCATCGGGAATCGAAATTCAGACAGCGCGTTATTGGGAGATCTCATTGGGCGTTGTGAGCCAACAGCACTCTGCGCATTGGGAAACGTCGAGGATCGTGAGGTCGCAGGAGGCGTGTCGGAGGCGGATGTCGAGTTAAACAAGGGCGAGCTTATGTGTCTGGGGGAGGCTGGGCAAGTCAGAAAGAGTGTATCAGTCGCGACCGAGAGGCTTACCAGAGTGAGGTCCTGCCAGTCCCAGAGCAGCTCCGCGAGGGACAATCTGGAGACTCGAGGCGCGCGCATGGCCGCGGCCGGGCCGTTGCGACTTGGTTAAGCTAGCATTGCTTTGAGTTTCGTCGGCGACGGTGCTGGTAGAGCCGATCGACACTATTGAGACGGATTTTTGATGACCATTGCCGCGATGTTCGGCAGCATTAGGGGTGAGGGGCGACGGCCACGGAACAGAGCCTGATCGCTTTCGTGCTTGAGCAGCCGGTACGTTGAGAGAGAGGGCTGATCGATGGCCGCGTGTCTGAGCAGAGTTCGGCGGGGTTAAGCCAGCGTTTGACTTGGCCCTCAGTAAGGGCGAGGCGTGCCTGGGGCGGTCGGTGGGAGTGAGCAGTTGGGACTGGCGTTGTTGACTTGAGTCGCGAGCGATATTCTTAAAAGTAATGGTGCATTTGATCTCCTCGCCAGCGAAGACAGTCTGGTCGTGCCAGCGGATAAAGACTCGGATGTTGCTGTTGCTGGAGGCCTCGGGAGACATGATGGCGCTCCTCCAGCGGAGAGGAGACGAGAGGAGAGGGGAAAGACGGATTGGTGTTGCAACGAATCAGCGGGACATTACATGTCTGGCATCAACCATCGTCGCGTCTGCCGGCGTGGACTAGAGATGGACAAAGAGTCCTGAGAGGTGCATTGAGCGTCATGGGCTTCCAGGTTGGCGGGAGACGGGAGGTTGAGCAAGCTAGCTCCAGGTGGTGTCGCTGCGAGTCGGACGGGGCTCCCCTTTGGTCGCGCTGCAGGGGTTGGATCCACGTTCCCCGTTTCCCTTCAGGTACTCGTAGCGTCAAGGTGCTTTAAGGTACGCTCCGACTGCGGTACCATCGGCCTTACATCAGCACGGGGATCCACTGATGATGTCGCAGCGGGTGGCTTTTTGGCACTTCGGTACGTACCTGGCATGTCAACGCCGTTAGGTCTCACTTACACGTCCAAAACTAGCAATCATAGCGACATCGTTAACGGCCTCACTCACTTTCAATTGCTGACATTTTTATGTCTAGACTCTACTATTTATCCAAATACTACTTTTACCTAACTTCTGAACCTGATATGTTTCTGTGTTTCCACAGCTATGTTTCCTATGTGCCAACTTCATTAGTATCGGTCATATCTTTATGAGCAGAGACAATGACAGCAGAGGCAACATAGCAACAACGGTAGAACTGCATCAGGCTGTCAGGGAGAATGTTCGCTATACACGAAATATTCTGTCTTGCTAAACTAGTGGAGTGTAAGTAAAAAAGGGGTGCCTGCCCAGTATGGTTTTCCTTCCCCAAATCCACGATTGCAAGCGCGGAAGGTCGGCCGAACGAGGCGGGCAAGTACGACTTCCCCCAGGGGCAGCAGTTGCCTCATTTGAAAGATTTATGGCCCAAAGCACCTGTCGGAGTCTCCTTTCCCTGCCTTGCCGGCGACGACGCATCTCTTTAGTGTCCCCTCCATACACCCATAATCGACTTCCTGCCTTCCTCCCCGCAGTCCACCTTTTTCTTTCGCCTCCATCTCTCGTACTTTCCTCTATCATCTCTGCCATCATCAACCTTCCCTATCTTCCATTCCCATCATTATTCTATCCACCAGCTATTTCTGTCCCTCGTTTCCCCTTCCTCTCCTGTCGCCCGGGGATGATGACTTGATCACCACTTTGTCTACGATTTTGTTCATATTCGACCCTTTCGGCTGGGCGGACTATTTCTCCTCGACTACCAAGGACTACTTCGCAAGATATGGCGGTCATCGACACCTTGCCTGCCGTTAAGGTATCTGTTCGTCTCAGAACATCCTTCAGAGACGCAGATGAATACCCTGACCCTTACGGGTACCAGTTGCGCGATCGATACTTCGAGGACTTTGAAAGATGCTCCCGCAACTACATCGAGAGTCAGAATGGAGTTGATTTTGCCGTCCACATCAATATCATAGACGATGTGTCACTGGATCCCTGGATCTATGGAGATTGTGGTCTCTTGTTCTTTCTCTTCATTGACGGTCAATTCATGGGCAAGCGTTTCTGCCACAGCGACGACTTCTTTCACCGTCGATGGCACTTCGCCTTTAAGGGAAAGAGACACCCTAACGAAACTCGCTCTGCCTTGGTTCAGAGAGATTTCCAGTTCGAATCCATCACCACGAGTATGTGGTCCTTCCAAACATCGTCTTTACTGTGAGGGCCTTGCTAACACTGTGAATAGACGATGCAGATGCCTCGACTCAGGAGTTCCGTCGCGCTTGTGATCTCGGAACGATCGAAGTGAAGGTCAGGCTAGGCAGGTTCTCTGGAATACCTCATCGGACGTCCAAACAAGATGCGCCCATTTCGCGCTAGGAGCCGCGGTATGATACGTTTGATATTCCCGAAGAGGCGTTGAAGGGCCGCCCCATCTCGCATGGCACCTCGTAAGTTCATTCTCCAACTCCTTGGTGTTCACCACTAATTACAGTCTGCATAGTTTTGCTCCACCCTACGAGGCGCCTTTGCGGCCGCCGCGCCGAGAACAGAGAGCAGCATTCGAGCGGATTCGCAGCGGCCCGTTGTTGGCTACGTACACATTCAAATACCGGGATCTGAACGCTCTCAGGATTGAAGAAATTGTTCCAAGAACACCTAGCCCAGAGCCAACGCCTCCTCAGAAGTCGGTTCGTTTCGAGGAGCCCGACTTGCCCAGATTCGAGGAGCTTCACCAAGACGAAATTGAGAGGCTTGCGCGTGATCGGTTGAGGCAGCTCAGGGTAAGTGTTTCGTACCGACTTGGAGGCTTTGGCGCTCACATTACTTTAAGGATCACAAGTTGTGTGAAACTTCCAAGAAGCGCAGCTACGACGACTACTGCGACCTTACCCGAGATCACAGCCCACCTGCTCGTCCTTACAAGATCATCAAGATGGGGACAGGCCAAGAGGCTATAGATCTCACTGATGATTTCTGATGCTTTGGAAGGCTTTGAACTGCCGAATCTGTGTAATCTTTGGAGGGTGACCTCTATGGACGTGACAAGAAACCCCTTGACCTGTGGTTCAGGACTTAGTTCAGGCAGAGGATCCGGGGCCGTCACGGGGATTCAGAAGTCGATTTGGTATTTGAGAACATTTTTTTCTTACGATGATGGAAAGAATTTCCTTCATACATGGCTTAAGAGTTGATGTGGACGAAAAATCCGTCCGGCGGTCGATAGTGGCCCAGAGTCGTTTTAGCAGTAGTTAGATGAATCCGAAGTACTTTCCAGTGTTAAACATTGATCCCCCAATATGATGATGAAGCTGTCTTTTCTGAAGTCTCAGAATGCAGGTTGCCATTAGCGCCTTCCACAACTAATTTGACAGGTTTGAGAGAAGACACAAGCAGGCACTTGCCTATGCGCTCCTGCCCAAGGTGCCACCCCTCCACACCCCCGCTGCACACTTTCCTTTTACACTCAGACTAATTCTTCCCGTCGTTAACCTCAACAATCTTGCGGAAACCGCAATCACCCCGTCAAGAGATTCGCATCTCGAGACAACGTTCGAATTTACGGCAAGACGCGCAGGCGTTCAATGCGTCATGGTCGGCCTCAGTCTGCACCTCGAAGCTGACGTCTCCATTGAAGTTAACGGCAGAGATGCGATAGAGCTTGAGGACAACTTGGCAAACACCGGTCATGACGCGCCCTACAGCTGTTACAGGTTAATCGAAGTGGAAGAGCGGGGCGAATTCTCCGTCAACATCCGTCTCAGTGATACTTTCCGCCGGCTCGTCGACCATGCTGACCGCGGTATCATGATATTGATTCAAATGGACGGATTGGAGGTTCTGCGCCGACTCGTTAGTCAAAACGGCTTCAGCACTGCCAAGACTTCAGTCTCGCTGCCACTCAAATACCAAGGGATTGTGGATTGGAGCGTGGGCGAGACCTCGCGGCTGCGAAAGTTTCAATTCAAAGGCGTTGAAGACGGAGAAGGTCCTGCGACCGGCTTGATCCGTGTTGAGTTCTTCCTAGTGAAGCTTCTTGGCCCTCCGGAGCAAGACGAACTGTCGGATTACCTGCCCATGGAAGAGCTCTTCCGTGGTATCAGGTACCATTCGTCCAAATTTGGCGTCTCCGAAAGCTCCAGCTAATTCACAATGCAGCTTGTCCACTGGCGAGAGGTACTACAAGAGGGATGTTGAAACCTATCAGGTCCAACGGTTGAACTAGGAATGCCCCATTGGACGATTCAGCTTCAGATATGGTAAGTCTTTCAAAGTTGGGTCCAGAATAATGCTAACGATGTACTTAGTTACCATACCAGTCCGGGTGAAAGCCGAGAAGGAAAAGGATCTGATGGACTTCGGTGACACGCAAATGCACCCAGAGCGCATGGCAATGCTTGCCACGAGAAGCGAGCAATCCGAAGATGAGGATTTAATGGAATTCTCCGCCTCTCCGATCCCGAAATCGACCCGGAAACCGCTGAACCTGCCTCACGACACGACAATGACCCTCCTCGAGAACGATAGCAACGAGCAGACGCTTGACCAAGCGTACGCTCCTCTCGAAGCTACGTCTAGTATACAAAACAAGATGGACATGCAGTCGATACATCACGATCTTGAGGACGAGGGTGTCTCGTTTCAGTGTACCGATGTCAGTGACGTCGTGACCTCGCGAAAGAGAAGCGCCCACTCGGCGTTTGGGGACGAGTCTCCTCTCCAGCCGAGCAAGATCATGGCTTTAGAATATGAAGAACCTACTGAAGATTCCCGCGCCCAGCAACAGGAGCCACAGTTCTATACTCCGGCTGGTCCATTGACTGGCCTCAATGACGTCGATTAAGAACTTGGAGAGGGAAATATGTTCCAAAGACAAGAAATCAGCCTGGAAAAAAGCGGGTTGTGGGAAGACGTCAGAAAAGGGTTATTGGGCGGAGCAAATTGCTTTGTAGGTTTAACGCGGCACGGCGAGGCATTTGAAGTTACTTCATGGGGCTGTTCTTCCAATAGAAGGTTCCTACCCGGCTGCTATTCATTTCGACGGAGTAATAGAATAGTACAGCTTAAGGCGCTGAGAAAAATTATCGAGCTGATGCAATCTTTCCCCTCCCGGCAAATTTAATATTGCCTTTTGAACTGTTCACTTCAGGCTCATAAACTCCCCAACGACGCATCATCTTATATCTGATATACCCTGCCTTTCGTTGATATTTCCCATACGTATCAGGCAGACTGTGACTCGATGTGGGAGTTATTAGTGACCCAGAAGATGAAAAAAAAAAAAAACCGAGTCTGATTGAAGGTGTCTGATCCCATGAATTATTTAACAAAGCCAGCACTGCAATGAAATTCTCTTCCTTTTCGCACTCTGTTCTTATAAGCCATGATCACCCATAATAAACAGCAAATGGGACCCATTTGCACCTGACAATGAGGAAACGCGCCCAGCCAACAATGTTGCGCCTATCGTATGTTGGAGTTCACTCATCTGTAAGGTCAATCGCACCATCAGAATCCACCTTGTAGACCTTGCTTGGTCGCATGTCGGGGTGTGGGCTACCTTCTCTCTTCACTTTCTCCTCTCGTTCCACGGCCTAGAGCTTCGTCAGTAATAGACTGGTACTCGTCTTGGCCAGAACTCACATGGAGATCGTCAAGACGTTCCTGGGCCAGCTGCCTGATCTTCTGCTGGGACAGATCATCGATGGCGAGGTTATCAGGCAACGGCGAGAGCCGACGAGGTTCAGAAACCTCCGGCAAATCGTCACGCTGGATGATGCCTTCGTTTTCGAGAATGGTGCCGGACTTGTACCTGAAAAAGAACCGAGCAATGCGTCGATCTCCGTCTGGATAGTTGAAGTTGTAATGCTTTCCTCCCGATTCTATGTCCTTTCCCTCCGTGAAGCTGCGCGTTGTGAGCAAGCAGCACAGAATACTTGTGGGTGAGTGGGCCATACGAGGTTCCATGTGTCACAGTGCTCTTGATCAGAGCCTTTTTGGCCAATTCCGATTGGAAGTGAACATTCTTGGCTCGTCCCTCAGAACGGCCAGATACTCCAAGGAAAGCCGCACGATACACAACAACTTCGATTATTCCCAAATGCTTGACGGTTTCCATGTCCTCCTTGAGCTTGTCCTTGCGGTCCTCGACTGCAACACTGGTGTTAGCGGGTTCACATGCCGCCTAGATAAAACAAACAAGAAATGGGAAGTTGTTACCTCTCGTGATTGCCGAGAACTTGAAGTTCTTTAGTGTCATCTTCCCGGGTTTGATTGAAGAAACCCTCACTCCAGTTATCTGTCCGCTGAAAGACCCATTTCGTAGATGTCTCTCGCCCGCGATAATTGAATCCATGTGCTTGCCATCGATGTAGCAGGCCACTCCCAGACATTTGCTCCCCTCAATCCAACCTAAGCTGTTTTCGATACTGCAACGTATGTAAAATTCTGCATCATCTTTGCTTTGAATGATCTTTGCGATGGAGTGTTGTGCAGTGCCACGTGCTGACGATGTGATCGGAGGGTCTGGGTCGTCATATTCGACACAGTCACTGTCCGAGCCAGTGATGCGGACAGCGACCTTGATCTGGGGTAGATCCTCGATGACAACCATCGCAAGTGCAGAATGGCAAGAGGGGGTTGCCTGGATAGTCGCTAGTCGAGGTCTACGCTGTGCAGAGCCGGGATGAAAAATGACTGAGGTCCAGAACAAATTGATTGAACAGCAGATTGCAGAGATCAAAAGACAGAAATTGACGCACGGAATGGAGGGAATATAAGAGAAGTAGCGCGGAAGGTTCAGAATCAAATTTTCAAAGGGAAAGAACGGCCTGTCGTTTGCATCTGCCCTTGCCGAAACCCATATCTAACCAGCGGCAAGTAGAAGCTTCTCTCTTTGGCAAGAAAAGAAGAGCAGGTATCAGGCAAATACTCCTCCTTCCTGTAAAGCTTCAGCACTTTGAGTCAGGCAAGTCACCATTGCAATAAGTTTGGGAACGTGCCCTTTGTGCAAGATGTTGCAAAGTTTCGACGAACGAATGAAAGATTGGTTGAAACCCAGGACTGTAGTTCAGAAGCAAGATTAGTAGAGTGTTTCTGAAGGCATCCCTTATAACGAGCTGTTCCTCGCCGAATTGGAGACCGACTTGCGATCCAACGCATCTCGCCGCGTTTGAATGTTTCCTTTCACATGTTCGTTTTCTTCAAGAAGTTGCTTGATCCCCCGCAATGCCGAATGTTGGAGACGCTGTCTTTTACATATATATCAAGATCATACGTAACAAATTGTGCTTTCTTGAGTGCTGCATACCTATGCAAGTACCCAGCCCTACTCAAGATGGAATTCGTGAAGACGGTCTTTTTTCCTGACCATAGGTGTCCAAATATCAGAAAGATCGCGGATTCGACTCTCAAACTACCTTAGGAGACTGGCAATAAAGGCTCCCAAGGTTAGCTTTTGGCGGACGATGGCGCACCAGCATGTACTAGGACGCAGTCGATGCAATTGGTGCAGACCCACTCTCCAAGCAAATGAACCAATCACAGGGCAGGCGCATCCCAACGCCTGCCCGGATTGCCCTTTTCAGCTGCCTCATCTTCCACTTCACACTGTGAACTACCTCAACGTCCTTTCCACACGTGTTTGTGCCATCAACCTCAGCCTCACACACCAAAATTCATCTCCTTGCCCGTCATAATTCACTCTAAACCTGTTTTTTTAAGTTTTGGGGCCTTTCCCATTCTTCCATCCGCAACGATGGCGGTCCTCAACGAGCTCCCCGGCATCAAGGTCACCATCGAGGTCAACGACGTCAAGGCCCAAGAATACAACGACGAGGACGGCCCCGCCGAGGACAAGAACAATAGACGTGCGACCAATCGCTGCTTCAAGTACATTGAGTCCAAAGATGACTCGCCATTCTCAGTTGTCTACCACCTCGATAACACCTACGGACAGCTGTCCAGGTACGATGCCCTTGGAATCTACTTGTCCATCGACGGCACCCAGATGGATAGTTGCCTCTGGGAATCCGCTCGGTATCCCCCAGGCTCACCCGTCTGGACGCACCGTGTAACAGGCACGCGCAACACGTCGGCGCATTCCGGCATGGATTCTATCAGGAAGTTCAAGTTTTCCAAAATTACGACTAGTACGTTGTCTCGCTGCGCCAATGCGCGCGCGCAAAGCTAATGGTGTGTGCAGTTGATGACGCGGGGAAGGATCGCGTGGCAAGAGACATTGAAGACTTCAAGCGCATAGGTCTGATCAAGGTTTACGTCTACGGATGCTCCGTCAGAGAGAATCGGCCCACTCATAGATCGCACCGGTCGACCCGTGATAGGGACTTTGAGGTTGCCGAGAAGGCGCTGAAGGGTCGGGCTGTGTCGCATGGGACTGCGTTAGTTGACAGCGAGCTCTGTTTCTTTTAAATGGTTGATGCTGACGAGTTACAGATACTCTGACGGTGGACTTATTCCACAGACAAGCACCGTCTCAGTTGATTTCTATCCCCGAGACCCGTTGGCGGCGTTTTCTTTCAAATACCGCAGTCGAGGCTAGTTGTTTATCTTTTGTGACTGGGATCCAGCAAAACTAACTTTGGAACAGATGCTCTCCACAAGGAGCTGGTGATCCCCCGCTCTCCCACTCCTGAAGGACTCAATGCTCTGTCCGAAGCGGAGATCCGCCGGCTGGCTGCAGAGCGACTCGAGGACATTAACGTTTGTTTCCTTAAGCAACTCATCGAGCCTGACTAACATGCTTGAAGCATCATCGTCGGTCACCAACCCTTAAGCGGGAGCCCAGGGCCGTCATCAAACGCGAGTTTGCAGAATATTACGATCTGACCGAAGAGCCAACTAAGCGCGAGTGGAAGAAAGTCAGAATCGACGACAAGCACGAGGCGATCGATCTCACGGATGACTAGAAGCCACCACCGGAGCTCGAAGAACTGGGCTCTGATAGCGAGTCCGACGATTCGAGCTCTGACAGTGACTCTGAGGGCGACTCGTCTCTCCGGGGCGACACTGCTGCGTAGTTTTGTTTCCTGATTTTGACACCCTGCCTCAGCAACAAGGACTTGCAGCGCTGTATGTTTCGCGTTCTTCGTTTTGTTTTCTCTGGGGCGACTTCGTTTCATGACTTCTTAGGCGCAAGATTTGACATATCTGCTGTGGGCGCAGGCGCTAGTACTCACTACTTCACGGTTACGATGTTGACGATGGTGTTTTCCTCCTTTCATCAGGAGTTTAGTGGTGGAAACAGATATACCCTCTCCTAGCTTTCTTTGTCTTTCACTTTTCGATGTCTACGTATCCTCTCTACAGGGTAGGAAATGCCCTATCATACCAGGCGCCCAATACAAAGAATTACTTTTCATAGTCTAGCCCTTCATTTCCATGCGCGTACTTTCGTATCCATTCTCCCATTTCTCTTCTTGGAACTTGTAATCTTTCAATGTTTCGGATAGTTCGATGGGCTCCTCGTCTGATGGCGCCGATTACTAGTCAGCATCTTCGTTCTCGATGCCCATCGCCGTGTCCCCGTCAGGATCCTTTTGTGCCGCCATCTTTTGCATCTTTTCCGCCTTGAGAATGCGCACCGCCGCCTCTGCAGCCTTGACCTTAACCTCGTCCTTGGTCACACCCTTATCGACTTCGACGACGCAGCGGGTGCCGACCATGACCTTGCAAGAGAGCTCCCGCTCCCTGCTCTCTAGCTCCTTGTAACTTAGAACGTACTGCACGCTCTCCTTGTCGGCGAGGTGGCCTAGCTCCTCCTTGGGATGGAGACAGTGCACCCCGTCGCGGAGGATGCGCTCCAGACAGCCCAGGATGCCGAACCGCTCGACGACCTGCTCGCAGACCTTCATGTCCCCGGCGTCGACCCACACCGCGCCGAGGAGCGACTCGAAAATGTCCGAGTAGAACTTCCTCAGCTGCAGGCGCGCGAGCAGGGCCCAGGGGTACGTCGTGCCGTGCTCCATGGCGTCGATGATGGGCCCGCGCATCTCGGCGTGCCGTTTCTCAATGTTGATCTGTTCGAGGCCGACAGCCGAGGACTGGTGGCGCATGAACTTCCATAGCGGCAGGGCGAAGCGAGAGCGCTTGAGTTCGGGCACCTTGTCGCGGATCTCGCCGATGACGACCTCTTCCTGCTCGACGGACTGCTCGAGGGATAGGAAGCCGAGGAAGTCGCCATTGACGACTGCCGTTTTGAGGAGATGCATCGACTGGTGCGAGAGGTGTGGCCGGATGGAGAAGAGGCGGTTGACGATGATGTAGTCGAGGACGGCGTCTCCGATGAATTCCAGGCGTTCGAGGCAGCCGAGGGGGTTACCAAAGTTGCTCGACGCGTGCGTCATGGACTGGATCAGGAGAGACTTTTTTTCGAACTCGTAGCCGATCAGCTCTTCCAGCGGCTGCAAGGTTGAGGGGAGCGCGACGTCGTCGGGAGCGACGTCATACAGTAGCTGCCTGCAGTCGTCTATTCTCCTCCACTTGATCTGTTGCAGGAATATGGACATGCAGTCGAGCGCCTTGCTCAGGCCGCCGTCTTCACCGCCGTCAATCATTGAAGCCCCAATAAGTGCCTCGACAATATCGGCTAGAGTTTTGGTGGAAATTCTCCTAGTAGATGTATCTTCACCGCGCTTGAGCACGTCTTCGACGTAGATCGGGCGCCATTTTTGTCCCGTGAATGGTTTCGTCAGAATAAAACGGTCCAAACCGTGCTTGATTGCAGCCTTGCAGAGCGTTGAGTTGGCGACAATGCTGTCCTTCTTGAAGGAGAGTAGCCTTTCTGGCCAGTCGGGATCTGCGGTGTGTTAGCTTATCTGGCAGGGAAGACTTCTTGAATGTTCACGTACTCAAAGCGGCAACGTTGATCGTCGCAGAGAATTTGAGGATCGAGTCACCGAGAAACTCGAGCCTCTCGTAGTTTGTGGGCTCAGCGGCACTTCCAGCACTGATGGCTGTGTGAACCAGGGACCAGTCGTCGATGGCGAGCGGTCTCAACAGTGTCGTTGATAGTTCCTTGGCCACGAGGCATGTTTCGATCCGATGCAGAATGGATGGGATAAGCACCCCAAAATGTGCGTATTTCGCCGGTATAGCATCAACCTTTGCCATCGGAACCGGGTATACACGCGAGTAAGGCTTTGGGTTACTCGGGGCTTGGGAGGGGTCGCTTTGTGGCCGATGAAGAAAGTCTGATCGTCGAGACCACTTCGTGAGGGTGAGATATGGAACGTCTTGAGGGGCTTTTTCGAACCCGTAGAATGTCTTAGATACCAGGTCGGGTGTCGGCTTATTGTCGATTATGCCTTCGTAAAGGTATGGGCATCCAGTGTCGTCTCGAATGAAGCAGGTGAGGTCGTGTGCAGACATCTCCCCTGGCACGAAATGCTTCGTTCCAATACCATCCAGAGAAAGTTCAGCACCAACTGCGCTAAACCTGACTACCTGCTTAAGGGGGCTCGATAACCAGCGATGGCCGTAAGGCAAGGCGAGAAGTACAGCAGTATGATCCTCGTTCTCAGGCTCCTCGATTGGAAGCTGGTCACCGAATTCGACGGACCATGTCGTGTGGTAGTCGAGATAAAGTGGCATCGTTCGCAGCCCGGGGATCCAAGTGGGAAGCACCATTTCGTACTCAGTATGGACATGCCCATTTGCATCTTTCAGCAGAATCTGGGTTGCCCTCAGAGGGTCTCCACGTTTCCACGCGTTGGCCACACTATCCCAAGCATTCAAAAGACCGTTCACCTGGAGAACAGCAGCCCTCTTGTCCACTCCGGGAACAAAGTCCTCTGGCTTGAAGGGCAGAAGATTGTCGTTGACGAGGCCTGCCCGATAAAGAGCTACGTAGGCCTGAAATGCAGCGTCTTTCATCGCGTTCTTTTCAGACTTCCACGTTGATTTGCTCTCGGCAGATCGTACTTCGGCGGGAAGGTAGCTTGGAAGAACAACCGTATACCTCAGATCCGGAGCATCCGTGTTGTCAAGCTTCTTCAAAATGTAGTCAGGACGCCAGTCGATAAACTCCCCGGGAGACAGGATTCGGCAGAAATGATCAAGATGTGATTTTGCGTTGTCGAGATCCAAAAGCGCTCCCGTTGTCTCAACGTTAAACTGCATCTCTGCCAGTTCCTCCGTCTCTTCAATCTGTTGCAAATGCTCGAGCTCCCGCTCTTGTTGTTCATACTGCCGCTTCATCTCGGCCTCCATATTCTCCCATTCTTGGGAGAAAGTCTCAGAGCGGTCGAGTAGCAGTAATAGCTTAGAGTCACGCATTCGCGCTCTTCCTCGTCTTTGAATGAAGGATTTGAGGTTTGGCGGTCTGTCAAAACAGATCACCAGGTTGCAGGCCGGAACGTCGATGCCTTCCTCGAGGACGCTGGTTGCAACCAACAAGTTGATCTTTCCGGATCGGAACTGGTGTAGTGACTGCAGGTCTTCTGTTCGAGAGAGGTCCCAGATATCTCGTTTTCTTGCCTGGTACTGCGATGTGCCCATCATTGCGCCGACCCGGTACTTAGCCCGCAAAGCTTCATGCGATGTAAGCAAATGACCCAGCACGGCTACAGTGGCTCGCTCCTTGGCAAACACAATTCCAGTGATGTCCACCTTATCCTGGAGCAACTGCTCAATAAGGATGAAAACCTTTTCCGAAAGAACATCCCGACTGATCTCAGTCGGTGACGGGCGACGGCACTCGATCTGGCCGAGGATCTTGCCAAGGTACTTCTTCTCGTCTTCTTTCCAGGCTTCCAACCATCTACTCTGTGACCGTACCGCCGAGTCGAATCTGGTAATGACTTCCCAGATGTAGTATTCAGCAGCCCATGGCCCCAGTTCTCGACAGATCTGATTCGCTTGGCGACCAAATGAAGTCATTTGGTTGTGTACGTAGGTATCATGGCTTTCAAGAACCGCAAAGAGCTCTCGCTTGCTGCGATCGGTGCCTTCGGCTTGCAGGTGAAGAACGAATGGATCCTCCGAGATGTCAAGGTTCCGGATCGCATTCCTCAGAGTTTGTAAACTCTTGGGAGTTCTGCAGTCGGGTTTGGGGTGGAATTCGACGTAGGACAACTCTGGCTTCTTGACGCAAGCAAGCAGATCATCGCGGTGCATTGTGGGAGTCTTGCAGACGGCGTCCAGCGTTGACTCGAGGACGTTGATGCTCTCGACCTTAGATCCGAATGTTGGGCTAGCCGTCAACCCCATAATGTGAGGCACTCGTCGCTCGTCGCGCTTATGTGGGTGGTAGAAGTTGGTCATGATTTTGCTCCCCGGAGACTTGCCGACGCAGTTGTGAGCTATGAACGAACATGTTAGCTGTTGATGTGAAGGGGAGATCTGGGTTGCATACCTTCGTCAAACACAATCAGAGACAACCTTTCCATCCGCACAAATGCATGAGACAAGGCGTCTAGCAAGATTTGGTACGTCGACACAACTATGCGCACGTTCAATAGCACAGCATCCCATACTGCTTGATCCGACCATGAGTCGACGTTGTCGTCGCCGCTTAAGAACTTGATCTGGACAGCAGGAATCTGAGACTTGAGCACCGCCAATTGCTGTGCACATAGTGACACGGTTGGAGCGAGAAACCAAACAATCTGCATTGATTAGCTGAGTTGCTACAGACTCATCGAGGAGTTACTAACTTTCTCGGTTGCTGTTCCCTCTAATTCTGCTTTTATTCGCAACACAGCACTGAACTCTGGTCAGCACCGTGCTGTATTACCAGGTGTTTTGGAGTTGGATCTGGACTTACACTTGAGTTTTGCCACTGCCAGTATCCATCTAACAACGAGTTAGAATCTAACAAGTAACGGTTGGCTATTAAGAGAGACTTACAGCTACGATAATGTTTTGCCTCATGCTTTCGGCAAACATTTCGAGTTGGTAAGCCCTCGAATTCATGATGACCTGAGTGCCTGAGGCGGTCTCATCTGGAGACAATGCAGCCTCATCGCCCAGGAACAACTCCTCGGAGGAGTAGGCGGAGGCGGAAGCAGAGATGGCATCTTGGTTAAGAGGCCCCGGGGCCGGGACATCAGAGTGCAGGTCATCCTCTGATGGATCGGTGCCGTCGCCGGAAGATGATTGGGAATAGTCAGCCATTACCACGGTGCCACGGTGGTACGAACTGGTGTGACTTGACCAGGGACCCGGAAAGTCCTCAGTCCTGTGGCTAGAGTCGAGTCCTGGGATGCGAGGTACTTCCCGGGCGACGACTCGAGCCAAGCTCCACGGCAGCGTGGCTAGCGTACGGTACCCAGGTACGATGACGAGACAAACCCCGGCAGCGGGGTGGACGGCGTGAGTCAATGGGGGAGAATCGGGTGTAAGGTTAAAATGACGCGGCTCAAAAAGGGCAACCTAGCCATGTAGAGAAATCCTAAGCAGTTGGGTGGTGCGGGGCCTGAATGGGTTCGCTGGACGCAGTGAAATGCAGTGCAGTGCGGTGAGGTGCAGGGTTGTCGATGGGTGCGATGGGTGGTGGTGTGTTAACGATGCCCTTCCTGTTCTTGCGTGTGCGACGGGACGTAGGTAGCAAGGCAGATGTCAATCATTCAAGCCGGGCGTAACTGAGATAGAATTGGCGACGACAGCCTGACGACAAATGCTGACTTGGTCGTGGAAAATGCAAAAAAATTGTGGATGGTGCCGCGAGTCTGGTTGCAACAGCGCAAGCGCTTGCGTGTAGGCAGAAGGACCAGGGTCGGAGAGGATGGGTGGGCAGCAACCCACGGCGATGGTGCCTGGTACAGAGTCAGAGTCTCAAGTCAGATATTTCCGACCTTTTGGCGCCATGCGTCGACGGAGCGGCCGCGACTGTGATTCTGTAGTGGAAGTGGAATGAACAGCAAGACCTTGGAATTGCACTCGCAATCCACTCGCGCTGCGCGTATTTGTGTCCTCCGAGTCCTGCAGGAGGCCCACCATTCTGCTGCTGTTGTTGAGGACGTGGACTTTTTCGCAACCACTTACGCACGGCGGTAGGTTGAGAGACGGTGTCATACTGGACATAACCGCGCGGGAAGCTTTGCTTGGGCTCCTTCGCCAGGGAGAAAATAACGAAGGTGAATCATGATGCAGATAATGGAGCAGCTGGGAAATGAGGCGGGCTCGCAAGACTCAAAGATCACCACTTGTGACTCCTGGCGCACGATATGCTGCCGGCACGTTGTTAAGGATTCTAAGCAGGAACAGGCGAAATTCCCCGCGACATGGGGATTCGTCTTCTCGTAGAGTCGGGCTTGGGTACCGACCCGGCAACACTGGCAGGATCCATCGATGATGTGGTTCGGAGGAAAGAAACAACGAATCTGACAATAAACCCCGGCAAGCTTACCCCGTTGTCTTGGAGAACTCGTGTTGCACAAAAGAAAAACAAGGTACCTGTCAAGCTTCAACTCAGTACCTACCTAGGTAGTATTCCGTCCAGGCTCCAAGAACACCGCCGAGACACACCATCGGCAGCACCACTCTGGCGGTCCACGTTCGGACGGTAATGCCGCTGACTGGGTTCTACCTTAGTCCACAATCACCCGCCTCCACCCCGGCTTTGGGCCATGCCCAGTCGGGTCCGCTGCCGAACAAAAATACGGCCTTAAACGTCCGGAGCCCCGAGAACTGCCTGGCCGACTTCCCAATATGTCCCGGCACTTGGCTTGCGTCTTGCTGACTCTTGAGGCCAACACATTTTTGAGTTCGCCGACACAAGGCAACAACGATGGCGACACCAGAGATAACGCAGCCAAGGTTGTGCTGCAGCACATGCGTCCGTTCTTGGTTTCTTCTTCAAGACACCGTTGCCTTCAGGCTTCCATCCGGCCACCTGTTGTCATGAAGCCGTCTCGGAGCCGATGAAATTAGGAACCAAGACGCGGGATGTTACCCCTCTCCTGGTTTTGTAAATTAGCAGCGTGGCGAAGTACAGCAATAACTGGGTCGGTCATGCTTGTAGAGTGCCTTCAAAAGAACCTGCAAATGCAAGGCCGTTGGTATGATTTTTTAAGATGCCCTTCGCATGCGGTTTCGCGCTTCAAGGCAGGCTTCATAAACAAATAAGAGCCCGACTTGAAGGGTGGATTGGGCAAACTTGAGCTTACTGGCCTGTGCCACCCTCCTGCAAGTTGCAACCACAATGCACAACGACCATGCTTGCAGGGGTGGTTGACTGGACCCTGATCGGTCTAGACATCCATAGACGGCCGTCAACTTGTGTCATCTGCCTGCCATTAGGCAGTTTACGAATGACCATCTTCTCCAGATGCCGTCATTTCCCACATGAGGCCATCAGGTGAACAATTCGTCCTCTGCATCGATGCGGCACAGCTACTGGTGGTTTCAGATGCTATCAGCAGGGCAATAGTCCTGCACGAAAGAAAAGCGGTCGACTCGGCAATCGGCAGTCAGCGTAAGCTGGTGCCTGAGGGGGTGTGTCTGCCTTGACCCAAGCTCCTCCTCAAAGCTATTTAATAGCCGGATCGCCTGGAAGTGACTAGATCATCATATGTCTGGACTCTGTCCTGCGGGCGTTTGAATTGGGATTGTTGAAACGAGGGCACTCACAAGCATTTTAGTCTCGTAAGGTGTGGTCATCGCGCAGGTCATCCATTGATTCTAGAGCCCGGAGGTCCTCTTTGCTCCCGTGTCTCTATGCTGTTCTATGATACAAGGGTAAGACCCATAAAGTCAAGACGTGCATTACAAGTTCGTGAGATAATCCTCAATCTCCTGAGGACTGAGCTTCCTGAATCGGGGGCCCTTGGCACCCTCAACGCCGTCAATGCCGAGCAAATGGTCCGCCGGGGGTCCAACGATACCTGTGAAAGGGTCAGATACTTCATCACTCGCCGCAATCGCTTTTCAACTTACCAATCTCGATGGTCTCTCCGTTCATCTCTCCCTCAATGGTCTCCTTGAGCGTAAGCAGCGCAATGTGCAAGGCGTCCTCAAGCTCCAAGCCCTCCGTGTATCTCTTCTCCAAGAACGTCTTGGCTGAAGTGGCGCTCTTGCCAATAGCCGTCGCCTTCCAGGGGAAGTAGCTGCCAGAAGGATCAACCTGGTACAGCATGGGTCCTCCCTTCAGAGTACCACCAGTCTTGCCGGTGGCCTTCTTCTCCTCGCCCTCCTGGGCCTCGGTCTCATCCTCGGGCAGGATACCCTCATCCCAGCCAGCGATGAGCAAGCTGACACCGTAGGGACGGACACCACCAGATTGAGTTGCCTCCTGCATCACACGAGCGACGTCCTGCACCAATATCCGCGTGGGGGGGTACTCGTTGTAGATGCGCTTGTAGCCGGTGTGCGAAACCTTGCGGGCCTTGTCCACCAATATTCTGTAGTCGGGGCCCATGCCGGAGTAGACCATGCCGATGTTCGGGGTGACGAGGCTAATCTTGGACAGCGAGCTGGGGTCGGCGAGCGGGGATGAAGACTTCTTCTCGGTCGCGAGGACGATGCCGTTGGTGGCTTCGTGGGGTTAGCATGGGCTTAGGGAAGGAGGGGCAGGCAAGCTTGCCTTTGATACCAAGGGCGGTAACACCCTGGTTGACGGCGTTCAAAGCATACTCTAATTTTCAATCAGCTCCGTCCCGTACATTCTCGATCAAATTAACGCCAGAATTGTAATCAATGGAGGGGTAGGATCTCAGCGTACCGATCTGAACCAGCTTGCCGCTGCACCAAGTTAGCATATAGACGTCACACAGTGGATCGAGTAGCTCACCTGGGCGAGAACGTCGTCAGCGAGAAGGAGTAACGGTCGGCCATGGCTTGACTGTTAAATTGTACAGTCGATGTGTGTTTTTGAGGGTGGTGGTGACGGGGAGGATGGAAGGTGGATTGGCTGCGGTCAAACGAGGTGAGGCTGTCGGAGCTATGAAGCTCTCCCTCCTAGGCAACTCGCGCCGCGTCAAGCTGCCAACCGTCCGCTCGCCGCCTGGGGAAGTGAAGGCACGTGACTTGGCCGGTCGGGGTGTTGATCCGGGCAAGAATGGCTCCTGTCCAGCTGACATAATCAAAAGGGCACGGAAGCTATGACCAGCCGGAGACAGCTCAGAATAAAGTGGTGCTGGAATATTCTTTTCTCTACGCCTGCTACACACTCAACTGACGGTCTTTCTCGTCCAGGAAAATCCAAGAGCTTGGCGCCGTATCCGAAAGGACAGATGGCCTGGTTTATCGCTTTGTTCCTTCCTGCCATGTAGGTGCTGTCTTTTGGGGTTCACTCGAGCCAAGCAAAACACCAATCCCACGACTCCAAGCACCAACGCTCTGAGCATTTCCCTGCATCGTTTCATTTCTACCTGTTTGTTGCCCGCTGCAGTCTCACAACCCAGACATCATCCCGCGCATTGCCGGCGCAAAGATATTCAGTCCAAGTCACGGTTTTCGTCGTTATCGCCGCGATGGAGTCAGCCACGCCTCAGTGGAGTTGGCCGTCTGACCTCCCCAGAGAGCGAGGCCACGCGAAAGCCGACGCAGCCGAAGCGTCGCAACCTAGCAACTTTGAAGGCCAGAACGAGAAGAAGACCACCCAGGAACAGCCACAGCCCGAGCCTCAACCCAAGCAAAGATACTATGGCCCGCGAGTATGCCGCATCTGTTTCGACGTTGTTCATCCTACTTTTGAAGAACCCGGGGTTATGAGCGGATTCATGAACGCACCACCGCGGCCGACCTACAAGTCTGACGACCCTGAGTGTGGACGACTCATCTCCCCATGCAAGTGCAAGGGGTCTCAACGTTACGTTCACGAGGGTTGTTTGCAAGCTTGGAGATACGCTGATTCGACTGCCAATCGGAACTTCTTCTCATGCCCGACCTGTGGCTATCAGTACAAACTTGAGCGGCTTTCGTGGGCAAACCGTCTATCGAGCGCTTATGCGCAGATTCTACTGACCATCCTCATTTTCGTATTCTCGGTCTTCCTCCTCGGATTCATCGCCGACCCCATTTTGAACCTATGGAGTGATCCGATGGGCACAATCGCTGACACGGTCGCGAACGTGTTGGACGACATTGAAGCGCTTCACGAGCCGGAATCGGAAGAGCCTGGAACATGGCTCGAACACTTTCTCAAGGGGTTCTTCTCCCTCGGTCTCCTCGGC